GCACAGTGCTGCAAAAGCGCAGTGCACACAAAAGTGGGGCAATGCAAGATTTCACCTGGATTTCGGCCCAAAGTCGAAGCCATTGTGCAAACACTGGGCATCAGCCGCAAAAGTAATCAAATTTTACAGCTGGAATGGGACACGAACTACGATTTGTCACTTGGCAGACAGGTTTGCTCTTCTGGTTTCTGGGCCAACACGTCGTATACGCAGTATCTGCATTTGCATTTGCATTTTCAATTCCATTCCCATTTGCTTGTTGCATTGGCAAGTAAATATAAACGACTATTTATTGCATTCGAATTGATTTGCCATGTGGCCCAGCAGTTTCAATTTGTGTGTCAGTTTAACTTTCTATCCGTGAGCCACCCCCTTTGGGTGTCTTTTAATTAAGGCAAACTGCTCGCTGGAAAGGTCACTTAATTAATATTGATTATGATGGTCTTTGAACGCTCTTTTATCCCACTAATGCATCTTGCATTCATGGCACATAATTGACTGCTGGATTATCATCCTTTAACCGCTTTCCACCCAGCTCATTCTCGTTCCACATTTCATTCTTGGCTAATAAAGCGAGCTGCAGCTACAGCTGTTCGTGGCTAGAAAAACAACATTTAAATTGGAATTTTTCATCTACATGGCCGGGAAATTCTTCCAGCACTCCGATGTCGGGGATGCCAGGGGAATTGCTGAGCGCACAGACATGGCTTGCATATGTGGGTGTCATAATTCATGGCGATTTTGGCTCTATCTCGGCCTGGAAAATCGAGCCAATTTATGCTGCTGCTCGCAAATCATGTTGATTTTCTCCAATTCAATTATCTGCATTTTGCTTCTTTTTCAGCGGACACTCGCATTCAATTGCCTGGAAACAGAGTCAGCAATTTGCAGACTAAGTGGCTGATTAGGGGCTACTTAGCATAACACCTGCAATGAAAACGAGGACAATTTGTCATTATTTTGGAAAGAAAATGAAGCTGTTTAAGGTCTATGAGTAGGATTTATATTTTATGTATTTTGACTCTTAAATTTGCATGCAAATTCCAGCATTAAATTATTTGCCGGGCCTTTTTCATCTAAAATGGCCATAAATACCCTCAATTTATGTCAATTCGATTTGCCTGTGGCCACCCACACTCCACATCCTCACCCACACATGCACAAGCACACATACCAATGCCGTTGGCCATTTGGACGATGCCTATTATGGCCGCTCTTTTCTGCCACCGACTTTTCCGCCACTGATGCGTGGAAATTCAATCTGCCCGTGGTCGCTGCAATTTGTGTTTTTCTTTGCCTGTTTAGTTACAGTTTTGTATTGCCTCGGTATTGGTTATATACTGGGGCGATCAAATTGTTGGTAGCAGCGCATTAGCCTTGGCAAAGTGTTTCATTGCCCGACAATTTTTCTTGCGGTTCAATGGTATGCGAATTGGAACACTCATAAAAATGTATAAGGGATATATATGTGGTACAAATTGTTTCCATTTATATACGTTTCAGTGGTTAATAGGTTGGATCATTTTCAGTTAGTGATTTTATCATCTAAGATTAAATTTAAATGTAATCGCTGATTAAAATACATTTAAGGCTTAATAAATATAAAATGTTTCATAAATTGAGATACATTTTAGAATAAATACCCCTACAATCAAATTAAAAAGTCAATATAAATTATATATCCCAATACCTTATTTGGTCGTAGAGAAAACTGCAAGTAGGTAGATTTCTTAATTTCATTTCCAATCGATAATTTAATAACCAAATTTTTCTCCGTGTAGCTGCCTCCCAATGTGATTAGTTGTATTTTCCTCCTTGTTGTATGTAGTTATATATTTTTATTAGATTCGCAATTTCGCAGCCCTGCGTTACGTTTTTTTTAGCACGCCCACGAAATGCTGCTGGTCATGTCGGAATTCTGGGGGAAATGCTGCGGGAAACTAGATTCGCTGGATATTACCAAGTGCCGCTCGACTCCAAGTTTACTTTCTCTGAGGGAAAGTTTTTACGGCAGGCGGCGAAATTGCAAAGGCAGCCAAATGAAGGTTGAACGCATAAAAAGCGTCATTCAAATTAAGGACATTATTCCTTTCAGCCCCCGCTTTTCCACACTTTTCCATTTCCCGGCGCGCTCTTCTTCAAAGTGCGAGTGTGTAACGCATTTAAATGGAAATGTCAGCGTGCGGAAACTCGCAATGGTTTTGGCTTAGCTCCCTTTCTCCCTTACTTTCTCTCCTATTTCTCCCTTTCACCTGCTTTAATTGTCTGCCTCATGGTGTGTGCGTGTGTGGTGGGTGTCATAATACCTTTTTACATTGCCACTTGCCTTTTTGTGCTCCTTATTTATGCATTCCGTTCATTTATTTTTCATTTATTGCCTCTGTGTGCTCGACATTTGCATTTCGCTTCTTTCTGCTTTTTGTTGCATACTTTTGAGCGGCGCGCCAAATGTTAATCATACGCCGCGTTGTCTGCCGGGGCTCTAATTGAATTGCTTTGACGGCTTTGACGGCTTTGAGCCAGGTCAACGGCAGGCTCAGCCGGAGTTTAATCTTCGAGGGAAAGCACCTGCTTTGATCTCGGCCGCCTGATAATCAGTCGAGCGAGTGTTTCTCTTATCAATTGGCAGGGAATCTCAGGTCGGGACACTCAGGTGTCAGCAAATGTCAAAGATCTGGCAAAACAAAACAAAATACATTTTAGATGGCAGCAGCAGTGCGGCGTGAAATTTAATCAAATAAATTAGCAATAAAGTTTTATTCTCGCCGTCCCCTGCGTTACACGTTGCGTATACGCGATGTCGAAGTGGGCTTTTATTGCCCGTCAGCTTTTTGCGTTTGCAAGGCCGTTTTTTGGGGGGTTTTGAAAGGTTCCCGGTTTTTATTTCCCAGTTTCAATTAACATTGTCAGTTTGATGCGACCCCCCGGTTAAACCGAATTAAAACCGTCGGGATCGGGGATTAAAGCACTCCCCCGAAACCTACACACATGTCAAGCTGTCGAAATGTCCGTTTAATTAGGCCCGCAAGAAGGATGTGATAAGGGTGAGGCTTAGGGGTTTTTAAGCTAGTGCCACGCACCGAACCTATTTATAAAGCCGCCTGGATTCTGGATGCTGGATTCTGGACCTTATATCCCCTCAAAGGCAGAAGTTAATTGAATTTTGTTTCTGTTTTTCTTTCGGCTTGCCGAGTGCGTGACTCTCCGATAGTTGGCAGACTGTGGATGGCAAACATTAAATTGGTTTCGGCGAAGACTCACCACCATAAACCATAACTACGTGCATAAATTTGAGCCCCATTAGCGATTTAGAGGCGCCAAAAGTTCTGGCAGCGATTATCAATACAATTTGCCAGCCGCCAGCACATTTATCATTCAGAAATATGGCCCAAGTTGGGTGAAAGCGGGCGTTTCTCGAACACGAAATGGGCGTCGAACGGGTCTACCTTCGTATTTGTTTCGCACACGCTTACAACTAAATAAATAAGCAACAAACAAACGGCGAACCGCAAACTCGAATGCAAATATATACCAGAGCAAACACAAACTCGAGCCCGCAAAAGTATGCAACAAAATTTTAAACTCCTGACGCAGCCAATTTATATGCACGAAAAATAAACCGAATTGAAACGAATCAACAATGAATTGAATACAAAGTCCTCGGTTACAGAGGCTGCGAGTGTGGTGGATTCGAATAGATGATACCTATTTAAACTAGGGTAATATAAAATATTTTAAATCTTGCTTTAAAAATAAACCCATTATATAACGACATTTTTTATAGAATTTAACTAGGGTAATATAAAATATTTTAAATCTTGCTTTAAAAATAAACCCATTAAATAAAAACACTTTTTATAGAATTAAATTACCATTATGACATACTAAATACTTAAAGAAACTTGCAATACTCGTATTATTTTTCTTTATAAATACACAAACTTTTATATTTACTCCCCTCTTTATCCTTCACATGATATACCCAAAACGAGATGAGCATCTGGAAACCCAAAAGAGTTTAGCGAAATAAAAATTGAAAAACGCTCGGCGAAAAGCGATGATTTGCGGTCGCTGAACTGATGCGTATCGGCGGCTTAGGCCTGGACAAAGGGCATAAATCATGGCGTATTTATCATAAATCAAATTGGATTCTCCTCAGCACACCGCCCACGCCCCCCGCCCTGGAATTCCGATTGGGATCCGATTGGGAGCTGGTTGATGTGTTTGCTTGGCGCGCATATTTTATTTATGATTCTTTTCCAGTTGAGTTGCGAATTTGTTTGTCTCTATCTGTCAGTGCTTCCTTTGCGGCACTGGTTCCTGATTTTTCCTGATTTTCTTCATCGGATCAATCATTGTTTCACAATAATTCCAGAGTTGGGAAGTGGGAAACAGGTGAAGAGGGAGTGGCGGCGACTGACAGCCCATCGCCAGTAACTTACGCGATTGACGTGGCATTATCAGGTCGTTGAAAAAAGCCGAGGAGCCCAGAAGTGATAAATGCGCTCAGAAAACGGCCAGAAAGCCGCACTACCCGCACATTTCGCCTTGACCATTTCCACAAATTACTCGACACTTTCCTAGGGCACTCTGAATGCGAAATATCTAGCAGTCATCAGCTATTAGCCAAACAATAAATTCACTTCAACATTCCTCGGTCGACTTCTCGGCGTTCTCGTTCTCCTTTTCAAAGGGTCAATGATATGCCAAAGGTCAGCGCCTGTACTTTTTGTATGGTTTTTGGTGAGAAACATATCTACATATTTTGTGTAACCCTTTTGTTATTGAATGTATTTATCTAAAATATAAATTTATTCAAGGGTTGATTGACCGCGGTTTTATCCTAGATATTTTTGGCCATGCCACGAATATTTTTATCTATTGGGCCCAGACTAAAACTTAAAAAACTAGGTACCTCAATGAAAAATTTAAGCACACAAGTTACATGTACATTTAATTTTATTTTTTTCGACCTATAGCGCCAACTTTATTGTTTAAATGTTAATAATTTATGTTCATAATAACTCAATGTAGTTCAACCAAGTCTACTATATGAAAATTGATCGAATTATAAGTATAGAGTAAGAGTATAAACAAATACAAATGGTAGTGCATTCAAGAAATTAATACATAGAATTTGACACTAGCTCGAAGAATGTCGTAAGCGTACCAATGTGTCTCCATCAGGTATTGTCCTTCCGGAACAGGCAAAACTTTCGTTAACTTGTGGTTCAAGAAGGTGGCGGATAACTTGTCGACTATGATATCATGCTAAAACGACTAGAGTTGTAGTATTCAGATTTTGTAGGTAATAAACTTACATCGTAAGGGCATGTATGGTTCATGTTGGAGTGAGACCGAAAGAGCTCATAAAAAAACTCAGCTATAGGTTGAGAACTGGGATTTTTTAGAAAGCGGCATGAATCCACTGTTATGTTATAAAGAAACGGCCTGTAACCATTCACCCGTTTAAACCATGCGAAGTTTAACTATGAGAAAATATTTATCATATTTAATTAATATTTTGAGCTGTTTACAAACCTTAATTTTAGTAACAGGTGTCTTTAATAATTTCGCTTTGAAGGAAATATACTTGTATGTCCGATTTATGGGTTTTATGTAGCAATAATCAAATGTGGAAAAATTTGTATCCAGAGAAGTGCATATGATGTTTGTGTACTCGAACTTTGATGTGTTCTGCATAAAACCAATTAATAATGAGCTAATTAATAAAAAGCAAAAGCAGATATTAACCTCTGGAACAAAACACAAAATAACCATCACCACTCGTAAATTATTTAGTTTTATACACATCTTTTTATGTGTAGAGGACAGCCAAAACTGATTTCAAGTGAATAATGTTAAACTCCATTTAGTATTATCAAACATTGCCAATCAAATTGATCAATTAAATATGTAAGTGTATATTGAAGATTATTGGTTATTTTTAGATATTTTAATAGTGGCATTTATTTTGTATTTTTTATATGGATGTCACTAGACTGTGCTTCATTAAGCAGAATCATTAATTTAGTATAGAACTAAAACAAGGTAATTATACGTATTTAGTTATTAATGCTTTACGGAATTATAGTTATAAAAAATTTTCGTTTTTATGCTTGTCATTTTTTTGAGTGCCCATTTGCAAAGACTACCCAATTTATTCATATAATTTTATTGGCGTCGTGTAAATATATATTGGCCATATTTTCCTGCAATTCACACTTTAATTTCTTTTTAGTTCCTGCAGCTGTTCGAACATTTCTCTTTCGTTTTGCTTGATTCACTTTCCCACTTTTCAATGGTCATTTCAGAAACAGGGTACGAAGGGGCATATGGGTTCTGCGAACATGTGCAGTTCAATTGGCGGAATTCGCACACAGCTGGTATCAAACAGTCGAGCATGGAGAACCGGGAAACAAATATACTTTTTCGTTATTTTCCTGCTGCGAGTTCTATTTGGATTTGTGGCACTTTTATTGAACACGGACCTGCATTAAAAAAACATATTTTATCGCACCGAGAGAGCTTGTTACCCCGGTGTTTTGCGTTGTTGTTGTCGATGCTTCTGTTCCGAAAGTAAACAACTATTTTTGCTTTTTCCCCTTTACACCGGTCAGACATACGGGCCACTTTCCTCGGACTGCAGCGGTAATATTTCTGATCGCTCGTCTGTTTAATGAATTTTTGTATTTAATGAATGAACAACATTTTTCTTGTTGCCTCCTCCGGGGTCTGTGTTTTCGTTTTTCTCTGTTCTGTGTGTGAATTTTTATTCGTTTCTCTTTGCCAATTGATTGGAAATATTTCTTTTCATGTTTTTCAATTTGAAAGCCCAAAAACAGGGGATGGGGGCGGCTGCAACCCCTTCGCCCCACAATCTCAGTGCCCGAGTGCTTTTGAGCGATGGCATATGAGCTCCCCCGCATTTTGTTTAGATAATAATAATTTCTGCCTTTTTATTTCGGTTAGCTGGGGGCTCTCGTCTCGATTTATGTTCTCTGGCAGCCCGACAGCTAATGTTAGCTTATAAAGCTTTAATTTATTTTGTTTTGATTGCTGATTATTATCTTGTCCATAAACGTATTCGGGTTTTCTCATATGATGACTGCTGGAGCGGAACATTTCGGATTTTACCCGATACCCAAGTTGGTAAATGGGTAATATTGATGCAGCTAGAATCAATTTCAAATTGGTTATATGTGGGGTCTTGGGAATAATATTATGCAGAAGTGCATCTTCGGCCCTTACAGAGAAATGTTAGCTATGAAATGTCAGCACTGTTAACAGAGCAGGATTTCTCAATCGCTGATTTTGCAGACTTCCCCTGGCTGATTTTTATAATAACATTTCAGCTTGGGCGCCATTTTTGAATACTAACATTTAACAGATAGATTTTCTTAGAAGAAAACAGGTAAATAAATAATATTATTATTTTAAGAAACAAAGTAACGCCTTCCACGTGTAACGCAAATATATAAAGATAGAGTCAATTGTTTGCACAAATTGCAATGGCTAATATTTATTTATAGCCCAGTCAGTTACAGCGTTTCTGTAGACGTTTTATTTGACCCACAGATATAATTGTAAGTTATAATAATAATCTAAGCTACCTTTCCTGACCATTGGACTCTGCTCTCCTCAATTTTTTTTAGTATACGCTACCATATTAGGTTCTAAGAAATTACTCACATTTCCAACGGCAGGTGTTTAAACGAAGTGAGTTAATTACACGTAAATAAATGTAAATTTTCAGCAAACAGCCCGCCAGCCGCCAGTTCCATAGGGCAAATATTTAACCATTACTAGAGCTATGGTAAATATTGGTTATTCAGTTGCGTTTCTTGATTTTCCTCGCCAGTTTCTGTTCCGTTTGCCAAATGTTCTGCTGGGAAGCACTCTCCCATGCGATTTTTCCCCGGATTGCTTGCGATTCCCCCCTGTATTTTCTCAGCTGCTAACAGAGCGCTCTCCCTGGCTCTCTCCCTGCGAGAAAAGTGAATTTCCCCGCCCTGCAAAGCGGGGAGAGCGAGAGAGCAGACCCACTGACACAGTGATAAAGAACGGCCACTGATAACAGCGCGCAGCTGTGTGCGTGCGAGAGAGCGCCCTGTTAGCCGCACAGCGCTGCAGATACAGTATCTCGGATACGCCGATACGCTGTTAAGGCCGCACAGGTACGAGGCTCTCTGCGGGCCGCTCGGCAATCGCTGCTCGGAGGTCGGCGGTCGCGTTTCCAGTTAAACTCTTACCGAAAAGGCGGACGGACGGTCTCGAAATCAATCGTCGGGCTCCGCAGTTTCCACGCGATTCAATGCGATTCGATTCGGCTCCTGAATTCCTGACAGCCTCCGCAGAATTCAGATATTCCAATAATTCAAAACCATTCAGAAGTCCAAATAAATAAATACGAGTGGTAAAAAATCATTCACGTACAGAGCACAGAATCCGAAAAGAAAAAAGTCGAAACCCCCAGAAATCAAAATAAATAAATAAGTGAAAATATATTTTCAGGAATTACTCGAATGAAAATACCCGCATAAAAAAATACGCAAAAATTGAATCTGTTTTTGTGCTACTTGAAATCAATGAAAAATTCAATGCTATTAGTGTGTGCAAAACAAAAATAAATACCGTGTGTGAATGGAAAAGTGCTCGAGAGTAAATAGGCCGAAAGTCGAAACAAAGAATATATCTTGGACAAACTGGTGCAGTATTTGCTTCTCGGATATTTTCCAACGCCAGTGCTATTTTTAAAGTAATTTGTGCGACACTTGCCACCTGTTCGACGACTTTTGGAAGACACACAGTTTATGCAAACGACTCCGAGAAGAAAGCGGATCTGATTCACAGACGAAAGTGAGAGTGCGGCAGTCGTTGACCCATTGTAAGTCTCCAGTCCGATATTGTTCTGGATCTTTAAATCTGTGAGCTTGTTTACCCCCCATCCGTTCAGTAAACCCGCTACTTTTGGCACCTTAACACCAATCTGCGGACGATCTTTGTTATCGCCCCGTGTTTGTCGGGGATTTAAATATAGATTTATGACAGGCAAACATTAATTGTATTACTCGCCGTCTTGGGGGCACTTTGGATGATTGACCTAGACCAAGGGGAAATAAATAGTGGCCACTTGCAGCAAGTGATATATAGTACTCTCTGTTTTCACAACGCCCTTTCGAGAGGGCTCTCAAGCCATCAAGCCAGCCGCTGATATGCACAAACACTTCAGCCAGTGGCATAGCTAATCAAATTACAAAGTCACCAACCGCTTGATTTGATAATTCAGTTGGGTTGCGGGTATACTTTCTGAAGCATGTGCCTCGCCGCAGATGCTGCCCGTTCCCACCGCCTCGGGGAATATGCAGCAATTTTATCTCCAAAGTTCGGCAAATTACCTCCGCACAGATGTGCACCCAACGTGCGGGTGCGGCTTTGTGTATAAATCTACACTTAACTGCAAAACAACAGGCTTAATTGCCCGAAACCAAATAAAACTCAGCATGCCAGGGGATCTGGCCGACTGGTCCTGGCCAAGTTTTCAAGAACAATCCGGGTACCCATTCATCACAGGGGTATACCGAACTTAAGTTCGGTATGTTTCTAGCTCAGTTAATTTATTAAATATTTTTTAATTTTGGTTCATTACAAATTTATTAACCTTACATACATTTTTAGTTAGCTTACAATAGTAGAGAATTAACCACACTTGAAAGGCTAACAAATATAAGAGCTAGAACACAAATATTCAGATTAATGTTAATGAATATTATTATTCATTATAGTGCTTTGTTGAAGATCTTTATTTCACCAAACAAATTTTTAATGAACCTTATTAATAAATTAATTATTATCAATAAGCGAACGACCACAGCTATATTTACAAGCTCCGGAAAATCAAAGGTTAGGTGGCTTGGCAAACATTTAAATTGTAAACAAAATGGTTCTCCACACGACCATGAGTGACCAAGCCAAACAAGCTGGGTATCTTGCAGTTGCGAGCAGCCTGGCGATTGTGAAAATGATTTCTTAGCAATTGCAACAACTGCTGCGCGCATCCTTGAACATGAAATGTGAAAAGTGAAACGAGAGTGCTGCCAAAAGATGGCGGGACAATTCGGGCGGGCACTTACACTAATTACAGCCGCCGTCACTTAAAGTGAGTCACGGCCACGTTTCCACAGCCGCATTTCCACATTTTCCACACGTGCTTCCCCTTCCGCTTGCCAAAGCATTAAGGCGAAGATGTCAGAGTGACACACTTTTCCGACTTCTCGGGCTCAAGCTGCAGCGCTTTCATCTATTGTAAATTGACTCTCCTCGAGAAAGAATGGCCGGCACAATGGGGCGTATGCGTAACACGGTCGACAGTCTTCCAGCATTCACACTGCATTGTCTGCGCCCGGAATATTGCTCATACGCCCCGGTTGCCGCTGCAAAACAAACGGAACGCTCAAATCAAAGGCGACAACCGCAACAATGGAGCTCAAAATGCCAGCAGGCATGGCGGAAATATAAAGTAAACTATTGTTTAGCCACATTGCGTCAGTATTTCTGTTTTTTCTGCTTTGTTCCTTTGCCAGCAAACGTTGCGCATACGCCACGTGGTCCGCTCTCACCTTGGCGACATTCTTAATAACCTCTTAATTAGTTAATAATTAATCACTAAGCATGATCCAGCTCATCATTTGTTGTGCGGTATATTAGAGGGAAAGAGAGAGGTCATTTGCCATTGTCTGCGGGGCTGCTGCCCACGCTTATCGTAATGGCCAAAAAGTTCTAATCGAGGCAATTAACGTGGCCAAATTTAATTTCCGTCCCCGGAACGCTATCAGTCCCAAGAACCCAGAGCCCAAAGCGAAAAGCGAAACGAAGACGGAACGGAGGGCTAGCTTTTTATTTACAAAATATTAGTTCATGCCAGCCATCGGGAAATCCATCATGTAAGCCCGGGATTTCTCAGTGCTGCATGTGTTTTTTCTGTTTGTTCTGGGCTTCCCTGCTTGTTTGTTCTACTTCGTGGGCTTTCTCCTATTTTGCAGGCCTAATACGCCAGGTATTTTTACTGGAGTTTGGGGAGTTCAGAAGAGAGAGCGTCTGCCATTAAGCAAATTACTTATGTTAATTAGTTGCCACGGCTAATGAGAAATCTCAGGGATTTGCAGTCCGTGATAAGTCAAATTTAAAGTGTGAGCCGGGGAAAGAGCCTTTTCCTGATTATCCACCTTCCGTCCCAATTTAGCCCTGTTGATTTATGATGCCGGGTTTACCCAAGCAAATTCTCAACTTGAAAGTCAATTTCACATCGCCCGGGGCCTTGCCACACAATGAGAATTCAATTTCCCCGCTTTCTCCGGAGCACTGGGACCCTTTGATTCATCAAATTGCATTTATTTGCCAGATGAGCGGACTGCAACAATGGGGATGCAACAGTTTGCATTCGGAAAATTGCATAAATAAATAATCCGGCACAATAATTGAGGAGAGCAGCCCAGTTGGCAAGTAATCTGGAAACTCCTTTGTAGGAGAGAACAATTTCGATTGCAATTTGCCCTAAACTGTAATCAATCCAAGAGAGCTGGGAATTCCAGTAATTTATGAGCATGAGAGGTTAAGTTTACTATGGCTGTGGTATAAAATAGTATCCCTTATCTGCTAAGCCGGTTATCGAATTATTTTTCACATCTCATCCGTGCTTAATCATTGGCTTTTATTAAAAGCCCTTAACCCCTTTAAGGCCATGCAGATGTTTGCGTTACAATTAAAGCCCAGCGACGGATTTGTTAGCCTTAAGCTGGGAAATAATTAAAAACGTAATTAGCTTCGTGCAATCCGCATGCATTAATGTATTCAAAATGCCGGCAGCTGAGATATCGGATTTTGAGCGAAAAGTGGGGATTCAGGTCAGTGCGCCAGTTGGGAATAATTTCATTAAAATCAACTTTGCCTGCCCGGCCTGCGGTCAGTTGAAAGAAGATTAATTACTGACTTTATTTTGACTGGACCACCGACTATATAATTCACTATTGACACATAATCGATGGCCGTGCAGTTCGGGAAAAACTAATTAGGACGCCTGAATGCGAAAAAATTAATTCAAATTGCAGGGCTGCGCGCGTAAGTAGTAATAAGCAAACATTAACTCCAGTGCACAATATATCTTAATTCTGCGCATAATTAATGCCCGCAATTAAGTTTCCTTCCCCACCTTGTCTTGTGGGTGTGGTGTATGGATATGGGGAAACACGCACCGAGGAGACGTAAACAATCCACTTAACATGCTGGGAAATACCATTTGATCCTGCCATCCATCTCCAGCCGCATTGCGTATACGCAGCGTGGGCCGAGCCTCTGGCTACATTGTGTCACGCACATTATTGATGGGCCGGCTCAATCGCTTCGCCTTGAGTTTCCCAGCTCTCAGTTCCCAGTTCTCAGCCCCGAGTTCCTTTGGGTCTCGGTTACAGCCTCTGGTTACGGTTACGTAGTTCCGGATTTTCTGAGGCATCTGGGCAATTACGGCTCGTTGGTGCCTGTTTATTAAAACGACATAATTGCGAATTTAAGCCCGCAGCCCATCGCTGGCCCGACTGCCGCCAATCAACTGGATCATCATCTGGATCTGCGCCTTTCGATTTTCCCTGGCCGGCCCAGAAAGGCCAACGAAACTTTTCCCGGGAAAATTGGCATACGCAGCGGTCAAAAACAGAAAACTTTGGCCTTGCCAGCAGAAAGAGCACGCCCCTCTCTTTTCAATTATGATTAATGACTAGTAATTAAAGCCATGAAAGCGACCTTTGGCGGATATACAAATTGATTAGAGATGGACACGTGAGTGGCGGCCACGATTGGCAAGTCGTTGAAAGTTGGCTAGTCAGGGTGTGGGCACATAAACAAAAAACCCAAAACAATACCGTGAAAGAAGATTAAGAAAAGTTAAGTGGAAAATTGGTATCTCAAGTGCCATTTGATTTCTTATAAAGCTATCAAAAGGGCCTTAGTTCTATGTTTAAATATTCAATAGGGAAATGAAATTATATTCAAACGATATGTTCTAAACTTGTTATTGCTTTCAATTTATTAAAATGTAAATGTTTCATTTACTCGTATCTAATATCTTGGAAGATACCAGCTTAAAGCGTATATTTCTAAATTAACTTCCTTTACATTTTCCTGAACATTTACTGGTTAGTTAACTGTCTGGGGGGCTGGGGCTGTCACATCTTCAAGTCAGACACATTATCTTTTATTAGCCAAATTGTACACACTCGAGTGGGGTGGACCAAAACTCCGCCCCGACGCCACAGAAGTCATTCAGCATAAATCAGGGCAGCTGCCTCCGAGTGAAGGAGGGGCTCAAGTGTTTTGGCTTTTCATTAATTAAATTGCAGGCCACCTTTCTGGGCCGGGTTGTTTATGTTTATGTTTTGATTAGGCATTAGGCACTAGGACCGAAAACCGAAAGCATGTTTGGGCTAAGTGCAGGCCCTCGAGGTCCTTCGAGTGGATCCTGTCTGTTGTTCTGCTGTCTTAAGGGTGCTTTATGGGGCAGGGATCCATGTTGGGGCAGGCCCTCCCCGGACCCATTAATCACCGCCGAATGTCTGGCAAGACAGCCGCGGGTGTTTGCCCACCACGCTTTGATGGCTAATTGCATACAAGCTAGTTGATTTCGTTCCGTTCCGCCAGAACACGTAATTGTAGACATCTTGTACTACCTGATTGTGTGTTAGCCAGACGGCAGACAATTGCAAAGAGTTCGCAACGTGTGCTAATTGAATTGTAATCGACTTTGGCATGCAATTAGACGCTGCACTGCGAGCTCGAAAGCCAGATGCAAAGTCCCTCGTGGCGGGGAATAATTACTGCAAAGCTGTACTACAAAGG